AGGACGCTATTCTTCAGTAAATTGCAAGCAAGCTTCCAGCGAGAGCGCGACTCCAGAGCGCCGGGAGAGCGATTCCTGAATAAATTGTAAGGAAGTCCCAAGCGAGAGCGCGATTCCTGAATAACATGCAAGGAAGTCTTGGGCGGGAGCGGGGGTCTTGGCTAAATTGTGGGGAAGTCTCAGGCGGGAGCCGTTGTTGTTGTAACCCGGGGGCCAACGACACAGTTTGACGCTCAAGACTTTCCCGGATAAAAAATTATCCCGGTGCGACCCTACCTAGGGTTTGGAGCATCTAGGGAAGCAACACCTGCATCTACACCGACAGCTACATTTACATCTACACCTGCATCTACATCTACATCAACATGAACAGCGAGACCCACATCTACATCTACACCTACATCTTCATTCACACCTACACCTACATCTACACCTACATCCACATCTACACCGACACCTACATCTACATATACATATACACTTTCGCATTGGTTTTGATGTTGCTTTGCATTGCATTTGCTTTTGGTTTTGCCTTTGCGTTTGCCTTTGCTTTTGCTTTTGCTTTTGCTTTTGATGTTGCTGTTGCTTTTCTTTTCTTGTTGCTTTTGCTTGTTTTCTTTTTGTTTTACCTGCGCACAGACACACACACGCATGTTTTCGCAATCGCTCACCGGGTGTGCTTGAAAATGCTCCGTATCCGGCCTACACCGCACGACTTGGCATTGAGCAAGGTTGTGCAACATTTGCTACACCGAACGTTCCTACGAAATTGTCTAGCAGCAGCAACTCCCAGATCGGTGCAACAAGCTGTTCAGCATTGTTTCGGCGGGCATCATCGGTGCTGGAATATGCGGTTTCACCAGAGTGGTGTGACCACAACCTCCCCGTTGCTGTAGCAGCAGCAATAGTGGATGCTGTGCTGCGCTATGCTATGATATGATATGATATGATATGGTGCGCAATGCTATGCTAGGCTATGATCTGCTATGCTATGCTATGCTGCGCTATGCTGTGCTGCGCTATGCTATGCAATGCTATGCTGTGTGTTTGCTTTGCCTTCGCTTTTGCCTTCACTTTTGCCTTTGCTTCTGCTTTTGCTGACCACCCTGGGAGCGCAACTGGGAAACCGCCCGGGACGAATTCCACTGCCTGGCCCTTTAAGCAAACCGAGTAAGAACCCTTCTAGGCAGAGCCTAGGTAGGGAACAGGGTGCGAGCCCCAGGCAGGGCACTTCAATCGAGAAAGTACAATGTGCACCGGACGAGGGGGATCAACAATAATTACTCTTCAGAAGTGAGAGTTCAACAACAACAACAACAACAACAACAGCAACAACAACAACAAACATATGATCAATTTGTTTGAGCATGTTGGGAATATGTGTTGGGGTATGTTTAACTTTTTAGCAAAAGTCCACATGTAGGGGGACAGGCCCGACCTAACACTTACCTTCGCAGGAGGAGATCTGCATGAGCATGAAGTCCTGGTGGCCGGCACGGCTTTCTTGGATTGCCATTTTGGACGCTTTGGCGGCACCCCTGGCTCCAAGGCATTACTGGTAGCAGGAGCGCAGTTGTCGAGTCCTGGCAACATCGAGTGATTCGATGTCCAGAAAACGCTTCGTCAGTCCAAGAGGCTGTCAGGAGGGAAAAAGCACACAGACCCAAAGAATCGTCGCTGCCCAGGAAAATATGGGAAGCGATGGGCGGACGACATTCCAGAAAATGCGGAAAACGTGTGGGATCCTAGGCTTTTTGTGTGGTGTGTTGGTTTGTGTGTGCCCCTGGGCGCCTTCAGAGTTGCGGTTCTTGGTGAGTGCTGGTTCCGCCCCGGACCCTGCCCCCGAGATGCCTCCAGGGGCCTCCATCGAGAATCGGGCGGGCGGCACTGGGCCCGACCCCCGACGTAATGATTTGTTCATTACGTCGACCCCCAGAGGTCCCGACCCTTTCCCCATGACCGGCTTTGCATCCTGAGTCGTTTTTTGACGCTCCCGAGGCCCGGTGAGGGCCCCCAGAGGCCGAAAAGTAGGAAAAACCTCCCGTCGTGATTTTTTCATTACTCGAGGGGGTCTGGGGGGGATGGCCCAAAATGGGGGGCGGAGAAGAGTGCCCTCAGAGGGGACTCTGGGGCCCTTCCTTTGGGCCCCCGCTGGCTCCTGAAGAGGGGCCCCGAAGGGCCCCCTTTGGGCACCCTTCCCTCGCCCCCAATTTGGGCCACCCCCCCATTCGCGTTGAGTCGGGCGTGTCCCCCTACAGGGGGATTTTCGACGAAAAACCAAGAATACCCCAAAAATAATCGAAAAGTTGTCCAAAAATAGTCTGGGGACTATTGTTTAGATATTGTTTGACCTTTTGGGGGTATGTTTGGGGTATCTTTAATTGTTCGTCGGAACTCCCCCTGTAGGGGGACACGCCCGACTTAACATTAGCGCCCTCCCGAGAGAAGGGGCACACTCCAAAAAACTCTGGGCCCTCGAGCGTCGTGCACCCGTGAAGGCGGAGGCGGCGGGAGGAGGCGCGGTTGCGGGGGCATCGCTCCGCACGCCCGGCAAGATGGGTTCCCGGGCCACGGTTCCCGCATGTCGGGCAAGGTGATCGTTATGAGATGCATTGTTTTACCAATCGGCTCGGGCCCTCGCACCCCCCCCCCCCTGGAGTAGATCTTGCCTGTCTGTGGCGCCTGTTTCGAGCAGGCGGAGTCTCCCCCAGAGGCCGCACTGCTGCAGACAGTCGCACTAAGCAGAGGTCTGGAGCCAGACCCCCCCCCTTTCCGCACAATGTCGAAACGCCGAATAAACAAACGCTCACAAGGGCATTGCCGAGCATCGATCTCCCTTGCCTTCCTTGACCCTAGGCCTCCCAGATGGGGTCGGAGCAGATGGGGTCGGAGGCTCGCGCCGCATCGCCGATGCATCGGCGATGCGGCTCGATGCGGAGCCCGATTTGCTTCACGTCGATGTCGCTTGTACATCGGTGACGCATCGCCGATGTATCGGCGATGCGGCGCGATCCTCCGGCCCCTTCTACTCGGACCCCATCTAGGAGGCCTCTGTTGATTCTTGAGTCGTGAGGGTCGGGGTTTGACATGTTTTCTCGTGTTTGGTTATCCTGGTCTTCCAAAAGCCTAGAGAGATGCCTCCGAAGACCTCCAGGAGTCTCTGACAACTCCGTAGACCCTCTTGCTCCTGATTTCAACTCCCCCTCTGCTCGATCCCAGACTTGGCCATGGTAGTGATATTTGTTGCTTCGCCCACTGGCTGCTGAAATCTTCGGAACTCTGTCATTATTCGTCGTTTTGTTGTTCGTTCTCCAGTCTGTTGCTCCCTGGCAGTGGCAGCGGTGGTGCATAACATATATATATATACATATAGATACATATATGATCATCCAGTGTTCGGGCGCCTCTGTGGCGCGCTGGAGCCATCAGGCTAGAAGCAAATTTGTCGAGGGACGCTGATGATATGAAACTTTGAATTCCTTGAAATGTGGCCAGTTGAGCCCGTGTGCAAAATCTGCTTGAAGCATCAAAACATGGTTCTGAAATTCCTAACCACATCCTCGCAATCTCAAACAGTGACAGGCGGGACGGAGATCGTGCAAGGACCCTCTGCAAGACCGGCCGCCCGCCGTGTGGATCACGAGACGGTGGTCGGGCCGTGCTCGGGCAGCTTTGAACTGCGCGGGCAGGCAGCAGGAACAGCCATCGCACTACAGTCGGGGCTTTGACCTAAGGAAACCTAAATAAGGAACGAGGCCCCTTGTTCTCATACGTTAAACTTCGATGTCCCATGGAAAACCTCAGGAAGACCTGAGGCAGACTGTTAAACAATCAAGGAACGCCGAGCCCCTCCCCAACGAAAAGGGTTCCTTCTTCAGCGCCCCGACTGTATCCACCAAGTCGCTCGCCCAAGAACTATTCGGGTACTCGGCCTGCCTTCTGCAGGTGACACCGGGCCGCGCGGGCCGTCGGGGCAGGTGCTGCAGGCGTCCGCCCCCGGCAGGGCCCCGGGCCGCGGCCTGCCGACACCGACGGCCACGCCGCACGCCTTCCTCCCGTGCTCGCTGAGGGCGCCCTGGGCAGGGCCTCGCGCTCGAGGGATCGAGAAGTGGACCCCCCTCCTCCTCCTCCTCCTCCTCCCTCCTCCTCCTCCTCCTCCTCCTCCTCCTCCTCCTCCTCCTCCTCCTCCTCCTCCTCCTCCTCCTCCCCCTCTTCTTCGGCGGAAGGACGGCGGAGGCCAAGGGGGAGGCGGGCTCCGCAGGCGGAAGCAGCAGTGGCGGTTCTCCAAGATGTGCCCCAGTTCAGGCGATCGCAAACTCGGATCAAGGGGGCGTGGATTAGCGACGGGTCCCGTTTCCATGGGCAATCGTAGTTCCTCCTCCTCTTTCTCTTTCTCCTCCTCCTCCTCCTCCCCCTCCTCCTCCTCCTCCTCCTCCTCCTCCTCCTCCTCCTCCTCCTCATCCCCATCTTCTTCGGCGGAAGGACGGCGGAGGCCAAGGGGGAGGCCGGCTCCGCAGGCGGAAGCAGCAGTGGCGGTTCTCCAAGATGTGCCCCAGTTCAGGCGATCGCAGACATGGGTCAAGGGGGCGTCGGTTACAGGTGAACGAACAATGGCATAAAGATTAAAGTATTTGAGGTCCGCGCGGACCTCCGAGTTGTTATCTTTCTGTCATTGTTTGTTCCCCTATGGATTAGCGACGGGTCAAGGGGGCGTGGATTATAGGGGAACGAACAATGACATAAACATACAAGTTTTGAGGTCCGCGCGGACCTCCGAGTTTTTCTGCTTATGTCATTGTTTGTTCCCCTATGCATTAGCGACGGGTCCCGTTTCCAATTGGAAATCGCGGATTTCCGCCGCCGAACGAGGCGGCATTGGCCGCACTTTAGGGAGGGCACCTCCCCCGATCCATGGATTTGGCGACCGCGCGCCAATTCCATGGATCGCTAATCCATGTTTGCGCGTCCCCGAACAACGTCTCGGGGCTCAGGGTGTTTGCCAAGCGGGCCGTGCCGGCTCAAGACCTCAGGCGTGGCCAGCAATGTGGAGATTGCGCTCATTGGCAATTTGACATGTCGCAGTTCAGCGGCTGCAGCGCGCCCGATGAGGCGCTCGCGGTGCAGATGGCAAAACACCATCGCCACCTCGAAATCAAAATAGGCGCCATGATGGAGGAACAACAAAAGTCGATCCTCGAAGGTATCGAGCGGATGCTGCAAGAGCAGTACTTTGGCCGCGTCGGCAGCACGCCACGGACAGTCATCCAGCAGCGCCCGAAAATGTCCGAGGTTAGCGTCCGACATTCAGTATCGAAGAGGACTTCGACAAGCACGGCTAAGGGGATAGTGAGTGTTGGGGAGGCCAAGAGAAATTTTGGCACCGTCAAGACCATGATCATCCAGGGAGATCGGTCTGCCAGCCGCTCGCTGGGCGAGGCCGGTGATCGTGCCGCCTGGCCCTTCGCGGTGGCCAGCACCATCAAGGACAGGCGTGAATTTGAAATCGTCGTCGCGGTAATGATACTGGCAAATGCAGTCAGCGTTGGGTACCACGCCGACTGGAGCATCAGAAACCCTGGCGTTGACCGGGCAGGCTCGTCCAGGATCATCGACTGGTCCTTCCTCTGTGCGTTCGTGCTGGAGCTGGCGATCCGCGCGCTCGCGGAGCGCTGGGCATTTTTCGACACCGCGAACGCGTGCTTCGGGTGGAATGTCTTCGACACCTGCATCGTGCTCATCGGCATCCTCACCGAGGTGGACGCCTTCAGCCTGAACCTGTCCATGATGCGAGCCGTGCGCGTGCTGCGGCTGGTCAAGGTCCAGGAGGGAAAGAAACACACAGACACCATTAATCGTCGATCCCCAGGAAAATATGGGAAAGTATGGGAAGTGGTGGGGAAGACAAAAACCCAGAAAATATACGAAAATATGGGACATCGTTTTATTTGTGTGTATTTATTTGTGTCTCCCAGTTTCCCTTCAAAGGTCATGAGGATATTCCGGTTTCTGACCTTCTTCCGGGAGCTCCGGGTCATGGTGCACGGCATCGTGAACTGCGGCAGAACCCTTTGCTGGTCTCTCCTGCTGCTCTTGGCCATCACGTACATCTACGCGGTGTTCTGCCTCCAGGTGTTCGCCGACTGGCTCGGTTCGGTGGACGGCGCAGCTGCGCAGTCCGACATCAGAATTCAGAACACGATCGAGATGCTCCATTTCCATTTCTCTTCGCTGCCTTGGTCTTTGTACACGTTGTTCAAAGCGATGTCTGGCGGCTCCAGCTGGGGAGACGTCATGGCCGATCCGATGTATCACGTGGGCGTGATCATGGTACCGTCATTCGCGCTCTACATTAGCGTGACCGTGTTCTGCGTTCTCAACGTGATTCAAGGGGCCTACGCTATTCCGCCGTCCCCCAGGAGAGGAGCTGTGCGATTTCGAATGTCGTACGTGCTGCATGCCGCTTCACGTCGCGATGCCTGCGTGCAGATGTTGCCGATCCGACCCGCATTCCTCCGCGTCTCTTGCGGGATTGCTTGGGGGGGCCTCTAGGAGCCGTCGGGGGCGGCCTCGTGGGAGCCTTCGCAGACATCCGGCTGCTCCAATTTGTTGGGGTGCGTGGACCCAGGAGGTCCGGACCATTTCCCCGGGTCCCGTTTTCGTCCTGAATCGTCTTATGACGCTCCCGAGGCCCGGCGAGGGCCCTTGGGGGCCGAAGACTGCCAAAAAAACCGGCGGCTCCAATTTTTTTGGAGCGTCGGATCTCAGGGCTCTCGAGGCTCCAGGCGGCTTTTCGGTGCGTCGGATCTCAGGCTTATCGAGGCTCCAGGCGGCTTGTTGGTGCACTCCTTGGGCGCCTCTTCTTGGGGGCCTCGTGGAGGGGTCCTCGGGGGGGGCCACCTTTTGCGGGGGGGGGGGGGGGGCCTCCCGGGGCACCTGCGAGTTCCCCCCTCCGGGCCTCTCTCGGCTCGCGGGGCACCCCTGAGCTCCCCCCTCTGAGTTCGCCCCTCGGGGCCTCTGAGCCGTCGGGAGGGGGGGGGGGGCTCGCGGGAGCCTTCTCGAGGCTCCAGGCGGTTCTGCGCTCCCTGGGCGCTTCTCGTCGGGGGCCTCGTGGGGGAAGGCAGATCGGGGGCCTGCACCGGGGGGGTCTCGGGGGCCGCCCTTGGCGGGGGGGGCTCGCCCTCCCGGGGCGCCTGCGAGCGTTCCCCCCCTCCCGGGGCCGCTCTCTCGGGCCCCCGGGTGCCGCGAGAGGCTCCCCAGGCATCCGACGCTCCGATGTGTTCTCCGACACGCGGGCCTCCCCGACCTCCCGACCGCTTCCCCCGGGACGGGCTTCTCCTCCCTCGAGTCGTCTCTTGACGGCTCCGAGGCCCAGAGGCCGAGAGCGACAGGAACTTTCCGTCTCGATTGGTTCGAGGCGCCCCTCGTGAGAGCTCTCCTGGCCGTCTTGGATGCCTCTCTGGCCAGTCTTGGAGCCCTCTCTGCGGCGCCTGCAGGCCATCGTAGGGCCAGTCTAGAGGGGGCTTCTCGGGCTCTCTTGGGCGTGGAAGCCCACGAGCACGACGACGACGACGACGACGACGACGACGACGAGAACGACGCGACGACGACGACGACCACGACGACCACGACGACCGAAGATGACGACCGACGACAACCGACGGCGACCGACGACGACCGACGAACGAAGGCGACGACGACGACAGGCAGCACAACGACGACGACCGACGAAGACGACGAAGACGACGAACACGAAAGCCATTGAAAGACAGACGGGAAATCCATGGATGTTGCCTCTTGAAGCCCACTTGGGGGTCTCTTGGGGCCAGCGGGGGGTGTTTCGGGGACTCTTCGGCGATATTGAGGCCATCTTGGGTGTTAATGAGGCTGGAGCCGCTCTTGAGCCATCTCAGAAGGCATCTTGAACATCTTGGAGGCCACGGAGAGTGGATTCGGAGGTTCCAGCGTCCCCAGAGATGAGTTGGTGAACTCGTGCGGGCTCCCCCCCGCTCTAACGGAATTGTGGACCCCAGGGGAGGGGGGAAGAGGGGGAGGGGGACAGCCAGATGTCTCACAAGCTTTCCCACCCTGGCCGACCAAACGCCGCTTCCTTCAGAGAGGCGGCGACATGTTGGATTGGCAGCTAGCAAATCTCCAATTGTGCGTTCATGCCATCAGCAAGCATATCGCACTTCAACCTTTATTTTGTTTTGCGAGGGTCGGCGGATTACAGCTGCATTTGTCGAGGCATCTTCGCGACAAACGCTCGATGACGACGCGGATCTCGTGGAGCACCTGGACGGAAAGACGAAGTGGGTCGAAAGGTTGGTGGCCCTCTTCGACAAGCACGACGTGGAGGGCTTTGGCCGCATCAGCCTCGCCGAGTTCGAGAATGTGGCGCAGGACTGGCGAGCCCGGTCGCTCTTCAAGGAGATCGGACTCGACTTCGATTTCAGGTGCGCCAGGTCCGTCGAGGAAGACGAAGAATAATAAGAAAGTTTGCATGACCATAGATGTTCGGAGTTCCGCGCGAACGTCTTGGTTTGGCGCCGGACCGCGCGCCGGGGAGGGGGGTGTCGGTGCCGATACAAGAGGTCCGCGCGGGATTCTGGAGTTCTGTGTGTTACAGCTGGCGCAAGGGTTAAGACCAACCCCAGCCTTGGAAGGGTGTAGGGGAACAAAAAGTGGCATAAACATAAAAACTCTGAGGTCCGCGCGGATTTCTCGGATCGGCGCTGGGCCCCCCTCCCTGGCGCGCGGAGCGCGCCAGGGGCGGCGCCGGAGGCGCCGCTGGGGGGCCCCAGCGCCGATCCGAGAAATCCGCGCGGACTAGGGTACGTACCCTCAGGTTCGTCGTGATGGGGCCCTCCACCCTGGAGTACTCTTCGCTGTGGGTAGCTCCACGGGGCCCTGGGACGTCGGCGGTGGGGGCTCATGTTCATGGCCCACGCTCTTGTGACTGCGTTTCGGCTGTAGGGTTAGGTCGGGCCTGTCCCCCTACAGGGGCAGTTCCGACGAAAAGTAAGACATACCCCAAAAAGACCCCAAACAGGTATAAAACAAATATTCGAAAAATAGTCCCCAGACTATTTTTGAAGTATTTTTTTTCTTATTATGTTTGGTGTTTTTTCATTTTTCGTCGAAAATCCTCTGTAGGGGGACAGGCCCAACCTAACTGTAGGGGAGGGGGGGCCCGCGCCTGCGGACAATCAGAGGAGCAAGAAGGCACGGCACCGCGACGCTGCAAGATGTTCAAGATTACGAGGGCCTTGCGGCCAGCGTTGCCTTCCCTGTTCGCTAGGAGAGGAGGAGGGGGAAGAGTAGGAGGAGGAGGAGGAGGAGGAGGAGAAGGAGCAGGAATCGAGATCGGAATAGTTGCGAAACAACATCCAAAGAACCTTGCCAGGCTCTTGGGTCCTGAGACCACTCATAAACCTGTCCAATACTTCCGTCTCTTACGAGTAGTACGCTCTGAGTTACATGCTAACGCAAGTGAACAAAGCTGTCCTGACCGAAACGCCCGCAATTGCGACAAATCCAAGGATTAACCTGAGACGAATGCAGCATACTGTGAGACTCGTGAGTTCACCCCCCAGCCAAGTGCCCCCCCCCCCACCCACCCCCACCCCCCTTGTAAAGTGATGGTAGAGAACGCAAGAGATAGCATGCGGGACCTTGCACGAGGAAGGAAACCAGGCGGTGCGGGCCGCCTTGGAAGCTGAAGAGTGACAGGTCGTACACTGCCGGCACTCCTCATTGAGGACGGGGGCGAATGTGAGCAAGGCCACGATCGTTGGTACAGGGGGAGGTGGCAGAGGGGGAGAAGGGGGAGGAGTGGAAGGAGAAGAAGGATTCTTGGGAGCTTCGGAATGTCTATCGGACGGCTTCTCTGGAACAGCCATTGCATCCAACGTCGCCCGCATTCGCCTTTTTACGAACCACAAATGTATTTGGATCGACCTCAACGGTCCTCGCACTCTGCACGTCTGGGACCCTGCACTGCCGCAGCAGCACCCGCAAGCGCATCAGCAACGTGATTCTCGAGGATGAGATGGACGGGGATGTGTCGGCAGAGGGGCTCGTGAGGCTAAAGACGAGAGGGAATTTCGAGAACAACAATTTGATGAGCAGGCCTGGACTCGAGTAGTCTCCCGATCTCTCCAGATGGGCGCAAGAGAACCCTTCGGCCGCTCTACTTCTTCTCTTCTTCTCCCACCATCTCTTCACCTGCGCGTCGTTATCCTACACGCAGTACCCATGCCCTTGGGGCAACCTGGTGGTAATTTCTAAATCACGCAATTCTCCGAGAGGAACTGCATGGCCATCTCCTACGAGAGGGCCACATACCATGGTTTTCAGAAAACAACGCCCATCTCTCATGCGTGTTGAAGCGGGCCCAACCCCCCTGCCCCAAGTTCAAAGTTCGGGGTGGTCGACGCAGGGGAGTGCGAGCCGTTCCGAACAAGAACGCACACATTTGCAAACCGCGGCCTGCTCACTTAGATACATTGAAATTGGGGGCGCGAGGGGCGCTCTTGCGCCATATTCTAGTCGTTGTACTTGGGCGTTTCTTCCCGAAAACGCCGGTATTCCAGGCCCCAGAACTAGATGCTCAAAATTTCGGGTGGAGATTGCCGAGCGCACGGTATCCCCCTGGACCGTAGGCAACCCAAGGAGGAGGAGGAGGAGGAGGAGGAGGAGGAGAAGGAGGAGGGGGAGCAGGAGGAGGAGGGAGGACGAGGAGGAGGAGGAGGAGGAGGAGGAGGAGGAGAGGAGGAGAGGAGGAGGGGAGGAGGGCAGGAGGAGGAGAGCAGGAGGAGGAGGAGGAGGAGGAGGAGGAGGAGGAGGGAGGAGGAGGAGGAGGACGAGGAGAGAAGGAGGAGGAGGAGGAGGGAGGAGGAGGGAGGAGGAGGAGGAGGAGGAGGGGGAGGAGGAGGAGGGAGGAAGGACGAGGATGAGGAGGAGGAGGACGGGTCGCCTAAGCCCCTTCGGAGGAGCCCTCCATCGCCGAGGGGCCCACCCTGCGCGGGCGCCGGCCCCGAGGATCGGCCCTCCCGGAGGCGCCCCCGAAAATCCATCGGGGGATCATCCCAGGAGCGCCCACCTCCAGGAGGCCATGCCCGACGGGCCCCCATTGGGAGCTTCTCTGCGAGGCTCCGCGCCTCGACCAGGGCTGGTGGATCCACTCTTCGTCCGGGAGGAATGCACCTCATGCTGCTCCTCCTCCCCCTCCTGCTCCTCCCCTGCTCCTCCTCCTCCTCCTCCTCCTCCTCCTCCTCCTCCTCCTCCCCTCCTCCTCCTCCTCCTCCTCCTCCTCCTTCCTCCTCCTCCTCCTCCTCCTCCTCCTCTCCTCCTCCTCCTCCTCCTCCTCCTCCTCCTCCCTCCTCATCCTCCTCCTCCTCCTCCTCCCTCCTCCATCCTCCTCCTCCTCCCCTCCTCCTCCTCCTTCCTCCTCCTCCTCCTCCTCCCTCCTCCTCCTTATCCTCCTCCTCCTCCTCCTCCCCTCCTCCTCCTCCTCCTCCTCCTCCTCCTCCTCCTCTTCCTCCTCCTAGCGCTGCCGTTTTTCTCCTATGCTGCGCGCCCCTTCCAAGGTCACAGACTCACATGTTCGGCACCTCACTCTCAATTTTATGTGGCCGCTGGCTAGTGGCATGATTACCTACACGCTTGCTAGTATATCTTTTCATTGTCTCCATGGATCAAGGTCTTGGGTGGAAGATATCGCAGCCGAAGCGCCCAGTTTCGGCATGATCGGACTACACGGCACAGGCACCAAAGCATTCATGAACGAGAGCTACAGCATGGCCAAGATATTGGACAGAGTTGTTGTCAATGCACGCTGGAAACACACGAAGTTCTCGAACAAAAGTGCTGGGTGCGCCTTTTTATGCTTCCACCGAGATGGCCGCAAAATGTATTCAAAGGAAAGACACACCACCTGATCAACTTCAAGGGCGTGGCCTGGGAGTTTACTGCAGATTCCATGGGAATTCGTTCTACGCGATGACACTGTATGATCGACCGCAGCCGTCAGACAGAAAATCATTTCCGAATTACCTCTCGTGCTGTGAAATATTGACTCGATGGGCACCACAGGCGATCAGCAAGGCTCCACACTCTGCACTGGTCTTCCTCATGACTGATGTGAATGACGGGATAGGACCTCCTAAGCAAGAAGGACAGTGGATGAATGTCGGGGAGCTGGCGATCGGGAAAGGAGTTGCCCGAGAAAGACATCTCTGGGGAGCTGGCCACAGACTTCGTGAACTCATGGAAGAACATGGTCAATTACCCAGCACTGCCAGGGACCGAGTTGCTTATACGTTCTTCGACGCGCACGGCAACTCCAGCATGATAGATCATGTTATTCTGCCTCTCTCAGTTGCTGAACGCCTACGCTCACACGGACCTTTTCGGTGGATGGGCACGAGGCTGCAATAGATTCCTGCGCCTGTTCACCGTGACCACCTACCTGCACATGCTCGTATTGAACTGGATTGGGTTTGTATGAATCGCACAAATGATGAATGGAAGGCTCCGAATGGCGATGCAAATGTCGATGTTAAATGGGACAAACATAGGTTGATGCAGGCGCTCCGAGGATCACATGATCGACAGAAATGTTTTGACGCAGTGGAACAACGATTGCGACAAATTGATTTGGAGTTTAGTAGTGCGGATGGTTCTTTATCACGAGTGAAGCAACTTGATGATGCGTTACGAGATGAAGAAAATAAGTTGTTCGAAAGGAAGGCGCCCACGCAACATGACCCTGATAAAAAAGAGCGTCTACGCCTACTTGCACAAAGTCGTGAGCTCCGGGCACAACTACACGATGTCTCTGCTGCTGACATTGATGCGTGCTGCACGCAGCTCGAGAATCTCACCAAGAAGTGCGCGGCCCAGCGCAGGGAAGCACTTGTCAAAACAATGAAGCACTGGTGGAGGAGATATACGAAGCTTGGCAACACAGACAAATGGCTGAAGTACATCGTCTGAGTCTGCGCCTTGCAGGAGGCCGCTTTGGCAGTGGCAAGCGCGATTTTTCACGTCTGCATGGAGCTCTGCCCACGGCAGAGGAACGACTTGAGACATGGCCCAAGCCAGGCGGGGAGGGCGGGATGGAGGCCCCGAGGATGGTTTGGGAGGACTTGGAGCGGGATCGGGAGCAATTTAGAAGACCCCCTCCTCCGCCAATCTATAGACACGAGAGAGTTGAACAATGTCGTAAAAGATGCCATCGGATATCTAGCACATTTTCAAGCGTACCTGAAGTCAGCCTCTAAACGTAAGGGGGTCCCGAGTTGGTCATTGCCCGTTGAGCTTTGGGGTTTGTGCATTGGTGAGCCTCCTGAGGAGGGCCCTCGAAGCCATGCTGGACTCGGCTCGAGGGTGCCGCCGATCTCTGGAGAGCAAGTTAGAAGCTGGCTGGTGCGCATCTTTTTCCTCATTCGCCAAGCAGGTATTGTGCCGAGTCTGCGGTCCTGTCACCAGGGATTTGCCCTGCAGAACAGCGCCCTCCCTGGCCCCCCTGGCCAGCGTGCGGCGCACGGCTTGGGCCCCCTGGGCAAAGCCTATTTGAAGAGAGCGATGAGAAGGGGGCCGCCCTACACCCACTCTGAGATGGACCACGGTTTCCTGGGGCGAAGGCGCCAGGAAGATGCCATTGTTGCCAATATTTGCATATCTTGGCGCCTGAACAAAGTTGGACTGCATTGGATTGATTCGCATGAAGATTTAAGCAACGCGTTTGCTTCACCCTCCTGGCCTGCCGCCGGCATTGCTGTCGAGGGAATGACTAAAGGAAGCGAGCGTCGATTCTGTCAGCAACGTTACAAGCTCGCCTGCACGGCCATCCCAGCTGACAGAGGCGACACCCACTTGCGAACGGGATGCGGCATGATCCAAGGGGGCCCTTTTGCCGCCGCGTCGTTCGTTCATGTGTTTCGTCCGACCGTCGGCCGTTGGATCGCGAAATGCCAGCTAACAGGGTCCCTTGGGGCAATATGTATATACATATACATATACATGTACATATACATATACATATACATAAACATATACATATACATATATATTGAAGCCAGCTGCGAGTGTTTAAACCTGCCGAAAGTGCATCTTGGCCTCATTAAGTTCGCCGTCTTCTCCTTGGACCTTGCTGAAGGCGCTGCGCTTAAGAATGACGAACGTTTAGATGTTGAGTTAGCGAAGATTGGCTTCATGCGTAACCCGAACAAAACAAGAGGCCATCTTCTCGGCTCCGCCATCGGCGAAACGCCGCGTGGCCCACGTGCTTCGTAGCCAGCAGCGTGGACGCGGAGAGTCGGCGCGCTATTTAGGACCTCGCCCCACTCCGACTCAATCGTTTCAGGTTGAATTAGGTAGACGAATTCTCGCCGCCACGACTGCCCATTTCCGCACGGGGCGCTTCTGGCAGCAACCCAACAAACCGCACCGATGGAAGAGATGCGCATTGATCTGCAACGTCGTGAATCTGGCCCTTTCGGCAGTTGAGTGCGTTCTTCCTAGTGCTGGGCAGCTGCGCAAGCTTGAGCTCGCGGTTGCTGGTCTCTGCCGCAGAGCGATGCGGGGTGAAGCGAGTTGGGAAGATGCGCACCATGTCCGCTCTTTGTCTTCCCAGCAGGTGCTTCAGCATTGGAAGGTCACCCCGTTTTGCGTTGAGCTTCGCGTTGGACGGCTGAAGCGGTTTCAAGGAATTCGCACTCACCCTGAATCTCATAGACAATTGATTGTCGCCTGGTTTGGCACGTTTATATGAGAAAGGCGTTTGGGGACCCGATCTCGGCGATGCCAGACGCGAATCCCTGGGCTCTGCGAGTCGTGGCGGACATGGAGCAGCTTGTGCTTGTGCCCGAGGAAGCTCATGACCTGTGGACTGAAATTCGTAGGACTTTGAAAAAACTGTTCGAGCCCGAGTTTGCCGCCCGACCTTAACGGATAGATGCCACGATATTGCACAGCGCCCCCCTCGGTGCAAATATTGGACCCGGCTCTCTCGAGCCCCATGCGGCATCCAGTCCTGGGGCCCAGGGGGCCGAGGCCCTTTTAATCGAACGAATGCACGTTTGTCCCTGGCCTGATGAAACGGGCCCATGCGGGGCCACCTTTAGTTGCAATGCTGGACTAGCCAACCACATTCGGATTGCACATAACAGTGCCAAACTCTCTCATGCCCTCACATTCACTAATCAGTGTACATTATGTGAAGAAGTGCTCGGAGAACGGCTGACAACATGCAAACATCTCTTTGGGGCTCTACAACATGGGCGATGTTTGAAGCATAAAGCGACGACGCTTAACGAGATCGTGAATCCTGTTGTCCTGCCCTGTAGAGTATGTGGCTCGACATCTCGGAGCACTCACGAATATAATATTCACGCTCGGACGCACCTCACTCACGCTCCTGTCTTACCACATGGACGAGCTCTTTGGCGACGTGGAGATGCCGCCATGGGTTGGAATCCAAAACGCGCCAGCGACACCAGGAGTCAAACGAGGTGCAGGAGAAAGTTCAGGTTCACAGCCCGACGCGAAGTCCGCCAACAAGGGCCAAGGAAAAGGAGGCGACAACCTCGTGACGAAGATCGCCCTCCTGTCCCTCGCCACGGCTCGCGACAGGCCTTGCTCTCCGCCGTCGTGCTGTCGGCCTTCGACGAGGGCGGACTCGCGGCCAACAAAGTCTACTCCGACGGAGTGCTGCAGCTCCACGAGAAGAAGAAGGCGGAGGGACGAGGACCTGATTGCGCTTGGGCCGCCGCTCATCACAGTGTTCTTCCTCTCGCCCCGCGCAGCGATGAAGCCGGCGCCCGAAACAGTACGCAACAAAGCCAAGGAGTTTTACGACGCATACGTCAAAGAGAAGAACTCTCAGTTCATCGCCTCGCTCATCAGGCACTTCTCGATTCGTGCGCCAAGAGGGCCAGGCTCGAAGAAATGGAGGGCAAAGTTCGGCTGCAGTTCTCGATGGGCCCGAACCCGTGCTCGGCGGCGACGATGGAGCTGTTCGATCTCATCCTTCAGGATCTGCAGGCCATCCAGTTGATTGGCTCAGCGCCGAAGGGTCCGCTCGAGCGACAGGTCAGCAGCATGCTCGAGAGGGAAGGTCAGAAATGAAGCTTGTGCCGCCTCCTGCCTTTGCCTCTAGCGCTCGCTTTCGAGAGCTGGCCGCGCGTGGGGCCATCAGTCAGAGTTCTCTTGCTGGAATTTGTTTAGCGCCACTCTCAGAGAAAGGAAAGGGGGGGAGTCGTCGTCGTGAGAACGGGGGGCGGGGTCGGGGGAAGGGTAAGTATGCCTGAGAGTGCTGCTAGTGCCAGCGGGGTCGCTGCGGGGCCGTTTCCCGCTACAGCGTTCCTCGCGGCCTAGCGGTTATGCGGCCGCCGCAGGGCCACGATTCAAAGGTCTTGAGAGGATGGCTGTAAGCCGCACAGGGCCAGAAATCTTATACGGACGCCAAGTCCCCTTCATATTCTGCTGTGTCTTCAGCCATGGCTTTCCAGAGCCGAGGCTACTGTGCAGCGAAACTGCGAAGACGGAGCCCATCGACCCCAATTGCTTCCGTATCGTATCGTATCGTATCGTATCCTCCTCCTCCTCCTCCTCCTCCTCCTCCTCCTCCTCCTCCTCCTCCTCCTCCTCCTCCCCCCGTCCTCCCATGATGCCATGATGCCAGAATCGCGGGGTCTGTGCTCCTCCGGCTGGAGCTCCGGCACCAAGCAGCCGGTGTCTTGATGCGCTGTCTTTCCTGAGCTGGCGGGGCACAGACAGACCCCATGCTTCGGGGCCACTCCCTTGCAACACCCTCTGCAGGTGATTGAGGGGGTATCTGAAGGAGGCGTCGTCTGGACCGTCAGGACTCCCGCCGCAGAAGTGCATGCCGGCTTCCAGCCACTGGGAATGGACACGGGCTGCAGCAAAATCGGCGATAAGACCACTGGCCTGTCCATGCCTACAAGATCTTCTTCCGAAAATCACCGACAAGTTGTCTTTACCGTTATCGTGAGGCGCATGCCAGTCGTCGGGAGCATTAGGAATCCGGCCCACGCGCAGACGGTGAGCAATGCTTGCCGATAGCGGCCCCCGAACGTGTCTGGCGTATTGGGCGACTTCGAGATTACGACACTGCCCCAAGAAATAGGCCAAGCTCTGCGGATACCCAGATTGAGACGAGTCTCATGGATCCACATACAGAGCCAGTCTTGAAGGCAAGAGGCAGGGAGATTGCCCCCGAGGGTCGTGCTTCGGGGCACGGAGGTCCAAGAGAGTGCAGGCACCTCCCTTTCTTGGCCGCCCCTGAGATAGCCCCCAATCTCTTCCTCAGGGCCTGGAGCTGCTTCCCGAAACACCCGTGCGCCACCACTCCGTACGTCGAGCCCGCTTGGGGCCCAGCCGAATCTATTTTTCTTGCGGCATGATAGCGCGATAGCGCTCTTGCAAAGCCACGTAGTTTAGCCTGCTGGGTACCCCCTTGATAACCCCCTGCCGCCTCGGAGCCTTTGCCAAACGCTTCCCCGCCCCAAGATCGACGCCAAGGTAGGATGTCTGAAGGAATGGCTGCACGCGTACCCCAAGTGCGGCAAGTTGTTTGGATGCTGCACGTGCACAACGGTGAGCCGAGCAAGGACCACAGTCTTGGGTGCCAACGCCAACTCTGTCTCTTCCAAAAGTGCATGAGCGGGAGCGAATGCCGAGACAATGGTCACGTTCACTTGACGTTCTGACCCCACACTTGCGTCATAAGATCATGAAGCCAGATGCGTTCATTCAGGATAGGATTCGCGATCCTCAGTTTACGTTTCCTATGGTGTGCCATACATCATGCAAACCTCGTCCCACTCCTAAGCCCCGTGTAAAACACCGCGCGCAGGCTGGAAGCACTTGGAATAGGTACCAAGTTGGGAGAGGACATGAGGAGCAAAACGTACTTGGAGATCGGGGCACAAGAGGACGGGAGGGAAGTCGAGACGAAGAGCGGCGGCAGCTAGCTTCGGTAACTGAATATAGCCGTAGAAACTCGGGATGTCCAAACTTGTCGCGCCTACAACAACACCCATCCTGACCGCGAGCTCTCCTTCAAAACTCGCGCGACAACTTCACCTAAAGCACTAGCGCCTGCAACCAGCAACCGTTGCGCCCGCTGCGCCCCATGAAGGGTCCCGTTGAAGTCCCCCGTTGTGGTTCGGCCGTTCCAGTCTTAGAGAGTGGCTCCCTGACAAGACTCCACACGCGAGACACTATGGATATCAACCCTATGCCCCGATCGCCCTCTAAACTGTTGGCCGGAAGACGCCCGATTGCCAGTAACGTTTGCCAGGGCCCCATCAAGGATGCCCCAACGGTGGTAAGTTTCTCGGTAAGCTCGTCGATGGCACGGTCGGGTGAGCGCTCGAGATCGAGAGGAGTCAGCCGATCGAGACGTGGGCCCTAGTTCGGTTTCATCCTCTGGAGTGCGCTCTTTCCGCAAGTTTGGGGAGAGAATCGAGTTGAGCAGCTTCCCAAGTATCAGAAAAAAATATGGCTTGGAGCGAAACCCGCGGGGTTATACAGACGGTCACCACTGTGGACCAGCTCCGCCGCTGCATGCGGCGCTTGCCGTACAGACCTATGCACAGGACCGCGAGGAGTTCTTTCCACCTTCCACTATTTCAATCGGTTCAGGAAGGCATGCGTGCCCGATTGTCTGCCTTGCTCGATTGATCCCGAAGCTGAGCTAAAACATAGACATTTAAATCGCCCAGGTTCCCCAGGTGAGTAACCCAATGATCACAGGAAAGCGCTCCCCGAACTTGAGGAAGAACCAGATGCGCCCCACCAGGGATATCCTGAACAGGCACACGACCAATCTGAGCAAGCTGAGGGATCTATTCGGCAACGTCCTGCCTCTGCTGGTGACGAAAACGTTTCGTAACGATAATTTGGCTTCGGGCCCACCACGGTGCCATCACATCCGAGAGTGGATGCAGCAGAAGATGTTCAGCTTGCTGAGCGACCTCGATCGACGGAACGGGCCCCTTGAGCCCGACTCGGGCCCGCGAGAGTCGACCGGTGGTGAGCGCGGATGGCGGCCCCAGTTGCGCTGACCCATGTGGAGACCATGCCGCTGACCTGCTGGATGCATTTACTCCCCCCCCCCATGCCGAATGAACGGTCTGCCGTTCCGTATTGGCAGAGCTTATTCTCCTTTGTCCTGCAGGTCAACACTGTGTCAGGTTCCTCGCAGAAGCACCGCCCCCGCCCCCCATGCCGAATGACGGGGCACACGTCATCACTGGAGTTGGGTTGCTAACAAGTATGTTCGTGTTGTCGCTCCGAAGGATCACCAGGGGCATCTATAAATCTAGATGTAGATATACATATATACATGTGTGGAGGGTAGGGGGAGAAGGGGATTGAACACTAGACTCAACAAAACACTCAACTCTCTGGTTGGGCATTTGGCTGGTGGGCCCAGGGGGGCTTCCCGTGTTGGATCAACCTGGACACTCGAAGCAGCCCTGCTGACAAAATCGGATTCGTGAGCGCAAGGGTCAGGCTCTTCGTCCTCCTTCTCAGGGGCCACGAAAACGGATCAATATCTGTGTCAAGGTTCTCGGTGTGATCACTTGAGGCCTTAGTGGGGACGCTAATTTGGTCTGTGCCGCCTTCCCCAGATAGAACGTCCCAAAACAGAATCAATCATGTTTCTTGAATGTGATCTTCCAGCTCACATCGTAGAATCTGGCTGGCAAGCTTAGCTTTCTAAGATTGGCTGTGTGGCTTGGGCAGCATAGCAGGCCTAGATGCTCGAGCAGGGACTTAGTGGTAAGTTGTTTCCCCGCACTCCGACGCGACAGGTGTACCATCCACAGTGTGCGCCCCATGGTTCATCGATGCGTGCAGTGATCGCCCCTGCATACGGATACGCGGCCCGACTGGCCAACGAGTAGGCAATGTGGGACTGCCCCGTGCCAATCACGCAGGCGTGGCCTCAATTGCACAGGAAAAGCATTTCTCCCACGCGCTCGATGAAGCTTCAGTTGGCCAGACCTGACGGTGGCAGGTGAAAGCCCCCGGGGATCAGCCACGGTAGTTGGAGGGACGAGACGAATGGATTGAATATGATTCATGTTTGCGCGTTTGCTCCTGAAAAACCGATGACGCGATTCCTGAGCAAATTATGACCACCATCGAAGACCCCTTGGGGTGAAGAGTAACAGGCACAAGTGCATCAAAGGCATCTCCCGAACATAGGCACTTAGGGGGGGGCGCGGAACTCCAGAGGCTTTCGGACCAATTGTGCTTGCAGATGCCCTCAGCACGGCAGCATCTCTCCGCCGTCATTGACGCGGGCATTCGTGGCGTCCTCCCGAGGACGCGCATCGTTGAATAAGGTTTGAGTTTGGCCAAGTTGGCTTGCCTAGCCTTGTGATCCCCTCGAGACGCTTAGACATGAGTTCAAGCCAACGCAGCATAACTAAATCGAGTCTGTTACGGGCTCAGGGGTCAAGAAATCCCCAGCAAGCGGCCCGAGACAGGCCACGTTACCAAACAGAATGTGGGAGTATTCTTCCGAGTCTGCAAAGGATGCAAGGGAGGCAAGGTCCGCGGTCAATTCTAGCCTTGTTGAGGGGCGATCGTACCACGCGGGACCCTCAGAAGACGATGTAGTGCGCGCGTCGGTGATCGATTATAGCACCGTTCGAACCAACAGAGAGCTTCAGAAGACGATGTATTGTGCTGGTTGTAGTCGGCCCTCTGCAGACCGCCATCGTCGGTCCGCCAGGCCCCTCCTCAGCTCTGGGGGGACCGTCACGTGGATCCCACATGCCGTCCTGGCTGCGTCTTGCGCCGCGAACTTGGCCCAGGACAGACGGGCAGCGGCCGCAGCGACCTCGGCGTCGGTCGGCTCGACACTGGAGCCTGCCGCCGCCGTCGACGCTGCTGCCGCACCTCCTGCAACTCCTCCCATGCCGTTGGCGCCGCCTCCTCCTCCTCCTCCTCCTCCTCCTCCTCCTCCTCCTCCTCCTCCTTCCTCCTCCTCCTCCTCCTCCTCCTCCTCCTCCTCCCGCCTGAGCACCGCCACCCTCGGTGTCTTCGCCACCGCGTGGGGTCCACCCTGCGCCGCACGCGGCTTCTGGGCGAGCCTCTCCGTGCAGCTTCTCAGCGGCTCCGCGTGCTTTCGCCCGCCAGATTATATCCACCCGCGGCCCCCTGTTCGCGGGGGCCTCCTTGGCACCCCTGCGCTCCGTGCCCAGCTGGGTGAGCTGATGGCGCTCCCTCTCCTCCTCCTCCTCCTCCTCCTCCTCCTCCTCCTCCTCCTCCTCCTCCTCCTCTTCCTCCTCCTCCTTCTCCTCCTCCTCCTCCTCCTCCTCCCTCCTCCTCCTCGTCCTCCTCATCCTCTTCCTACTCCTCCTCCTCCTCCTCCTCCTCCTCCTCCCTCCTCCTCCTCCTCCTCCTCCTCGCACTCGAGCTGGTCGAGGTTGGCAAAGAACGCCTCGTCGTAGACGAGGTCCCACAGCTGAACCTCTCCCTGTGTAGGTGCCGGACTTGACGCATGCAATTCGTCTGCTACGCCCACCTCCTGGGCGAGCGCCTTGGCAGCCAGCCGCTTGCTCGCCTCTGCCATCGCGAGCTCATTCGCAAATGTCGCTTCCATCAGCTCCGCCGTGACTAGCTGCTCGCGTGCTCGGACCACTTGGTTCACGGTTTGACCATTGCAAGCATTCACATGTCGCCGAGTATTATTTGAATTCCTCACCGCTTCGGCCGCTCGGACCTCCTTGGCGTTCGTCAAGCCTTCCTTCTCCAATCGCGCCAGCTGCCCGAAGAACGCCCTCTTGACCATCAGGTCGGACGTGGAGCCAATCAGGCTCGTCGTCATCGCCTTGACCTCGGCCTTGTCCTTGGCGGTGGCTGAAGGGGGAGCCTGAAGGAGATAGGGTTGGGCGAGCTGTAGTGCTGTGACCTCCTTGCCGCCTCGCTTCTCATGGCGAGGCTTGTACAGCGTGACCGAGCTGCTGCATTTCGCACAGCGCGAGTCCCTCTGGGCCAAGCTGCCGTTCCACTCCGATGTGCGGCACCCTGCTCCTGGGGACCGCGCCCGCGCTGCCATGGCTTCAGCAGCCGCCCCGCCTCTGCTGCCCAGATCGACTGGCGACGCGGCCAGAAGACTGGACACCCCTCAAGCACCACGTGGAGGCGCGGGGCTGTGGACTGGACCCCCCTCAAGCACCCCGTGGAAGCGCGGGGCTCTGGACAGGTGCCGCTACATAATGGAGCAGCAGGAGGAAGAGGACGGGATGGGGGGGGAGTGGTGAAGCGGGGGGGGGGAGGCCCCGCGGGAGGGAGAGGGATCGAGGGGCAGAGGGCCCTTCTCGGTTCGATGACGGTGCTCCTCCGTGCCCCGCTGCTGTTCCGCTCGGACTCTGGTCTCGAGGGCCGCCGGATGCTCCAGAGCCTCTGGGACGCATCCCGCCGTTCTCTCTCCGCGGCGCGCCCAGGGAAACGAGGCGGAGGGGGCGGGCCCCTCGCAGGAGGCGCGGGAGGCTTCTTTTCAGCCTCACGAGAAGCCGTCCAGGCCCCCCCCCGTCTCGAAGCCACGGGGAGCGCCCGAGAAGGCCATGGGGGCTTCTGAGAGGCCCCGCCGCCCTCTGGGAAGGCACGCGCCCTCTCGCTCGAAGTGAGAGGGCGCGTGCCTCGTGCACGACGGCAGCCGGCCCCAGCCCAGCCAGGCACAGCCCCGGCCCCACGTGAACCGCCCACCCCCCCCCCAGCCCCATGCATGGCAGAAAGCCGAATCCCCGACACAGATCGAGACCATCACTTCTCGGATTCCCCCCCCTCGGCACTGCTAGCTCTCGTCCTGGAGAGGAGGGCCGCGGGAATCCGGAGCTCGTGCGTGGGCGTGCGCTTCGGGCCTCCTGTCCAGGTCCCTGTTCCGCCTGTTCGATATCGACGGCGACGGGCAGGTCGGCATCGACGAGTTCGTGCAGGGCTGCTACCGGCTGAAGGGCCCCGCGCAGAGCCTGGACATGTACCTCGGTATGTGCAGGCGCTCGTGCAGTGGTCGCAGTCGTCGTCGGCCTCTTCGTCCTCGATTCTTTTCTGGCAGGCTTCGATGACCGGGCTTCGCAGCGTATGATCACCATTATCCTCCTCCTCCACCTCCTTCTCCTCCTCCCTATCGTTATCACTATCAACATCATCACCATTATCGTCGTTGTCCTCATCGTCCTCCTCGTCATCATCATCATCATCATCATCATCATCATCATCACCACCATCATCATCATCATCAGCAGCAGCAGCATCATCCTTATCAAAAATCGTCACCATCAGCATCATCATCATCGTCGTCGCCACTGTCACCATCAGCATCATCAGCAGCATGATCATCATCGTCATCATCATTGTCAGCATCGTCATCGTTATCATAATCGTCATCATGGTTATCATCATCATGACCTTTATCAGTTACATCATCACTGCCATCACCGTGAGCATCATTTTTGCCATCATCACAATCGGCGTCATTATCATCATAATCGTCAACATCAGCATCATCATTATCGCCATCACCATCGTCATCAACATGGTCAGCATAATGATCACCATCAACCATCATCATCAGCATCATCATCATCAGCATCACCGCCATTATCATCCTCATCATCATCACCACCATCATCATCAGTATCGTCATCGTCATCGTCATCACCATCATCAGCATCATCGTCTACATCATCGTCATCATGACCAATACCATTATCATCACCATCGTCGTCATCGTCGACATCATCATCAGCATCATCATCGTGAGTTCTATCATCAACATCTTCACCATCGTCATCATTATCAGTCACATCATTATCATCAACACCATCAGCATCACCATCGTCATCGTCGCCATCACCACCAACAGCATCATCACCATCATTATCATGAGCATCACCCGTATCATCATCATGATCATCATCATCAGCATCAGCATCATCATCATTATCATCATGCGCAGCATCATTATCGTCTTCATCATCATCATCGCAATCCTTATCAAAGGTATCATCAGCAGCATCAGCATCGTAATTATCACAATAGTCATCACCATCACCATCACCATCATCATCCACGTCATCATCATCACCATCATCAGCATCATCTTGAGTTCTAGCATCACCATCTTCATCAGCATCGTCATGGTTATCGGTAAAATCATTATCATGAACCTTGTCATCATCACCATCATCATCGCCGCAATCACCACCAACAGCATCATCAGCACCACCATCATCATCATGAGTATCATCCTTAGTATCATCGTCATCGTCGACATCATCATCAGCATCATCATAATCATCATCTCCTTATCATCATCGCAATCCTTATCAAAGTAATCATCAGCAGCATCAGCATCGTAGTTATCATCATAATCATCATCGTCATCACCATCATCATTCTCGTCGTCATGACTGTCATCCTCATCCGTATCACCAGTTTCAGCATCTTTATCATCAGTATCAGCATCAGCATGACCCTCGCCATCATCACCATCATCGTCATCAGCATCATCACCATCACCCCCATAATCGTCATCATCCGAATGATGATTATCATCAGCATGATTAGCATCCCTAGCATCATCAATTACCATCCCCATCAGCATCAACAACATCAGCATCATCACCGTCATCCTCATCCTCATCGTCATCACCACCATCAGCCCCATGATCATCATCGTCTGTACGACCTTAATCGTCATCAGTTTCACCATAATCGTGATCGTCACCGTCATCATCACCATTATTACCACCCGCATACTAATAACAATGAGAATGCTAAGACTCACTAGCATCATCCGCATGATCATCGTCGTCAGCATCAATATCGTCATCATCGTCAGCACGGTCATCATCCTCATCAGCATCAGCAGCAGCAGCAGCATTACCGTCACCATCATCATGATTTCGTCCTCATCATCGTCATCACCATCAGCAGCATCGTCGTCTTCATCGTCAGCGGCATCACCATTTTCGCCGTCGTCAGCATCATCATCAGCATCATCATCAGCCCCATCGCTATCAGCATCATCATCATCACGGGTAACACCATCATCGTATCGTCGTCATCACCATCGTCACCGGCATCGTCATCACCAGCGCCAGCATCATCATAGTAATCGTTCTCATCATCAGCATCAGCATCGTCCTCATCATCGTCCGCATCACAATTATCATCATGATCAGATGCCTCATCATTGTTCTTATCATCGTCAGCAGCATCAGCATCATGATTTTCATCCTTGCCATCGTCATCATCATCAGCGTCATTGTTATCGACATCACCATCATCAGCAGCATCATCAATCTAGTTGTCACTATCATCATCGTCATTGTAATCGTAATCGACATCACCATCATCAGCATCACCATCACCAGTATCATCATCATCAGCATCATCCTCATCGTCATCATCATCACCATCGTCAGCATCATCATCATCATTATCATCATTATCATCACCATTAACATTATCATAATCATCACCACCAGCATCAGCATCATAATAATCGTCACCGGTGTCACCCTTATCAGCCCATCATCATCAGCATCAGCATTACCATCATCATCATCATCATCATCATCATCATCACCATTACCAGCATCGTTAACAGCAGCATCATCATGATTACCGTCCTCATCATCATCAGAATCATCAGAATCATCATCGGCATGGTCATCGTCATCATCATCGTCATCGTCATCGTCGTCATCATCGTCAGCATCATCATTTCCATAATTATCATCGTCGGCATCATCATCACCCTTATCGTCATCGCCATCGTCATCACACTCATCAGCATCATCAGCATCATCCATATCATCAGCATCAGCAACATCATCGTCATCATGATAATCCGTATTCTCACTATCATGGTCACCGTCATCGTCAACATTCGTCATCGTCATCGTCAGCGTCATCACCACCATCATCATCATCTTCATCATCCTCATCACCATCATCATCATCAGCATGATCACCATCCTGATCATCATCATCACCATCTTCAGCATCATCAGCCTGATCATCATCAGCATCATCATCATCATCATTATCATCATCATCATCATAATCACCACCATCATCCGTATCATCATCATTATCAGCAGCATCATCAGCATCATCGTCATCGTCATCGTAATTATCATCATCAGCACCATATTTTCCTCACCATCATCATCATCATCGTCATCATCAGCACGACCTTAATCGTCATCAGTTCCACCATAGTCACCAGCAGCATCTTTATCATCATGGTAATCAGTATCATCATCACCACCATCATCATCATGATCGTCATCGTCATTTTCCTCATCGTCATCGTCATCGTCTTCGTCATCACCACCATCATGATCCTCATCATCCTCACCATCCTCATCATCATCTTCATTATCATCAGTATGATAATCATCATCACCATCTTCAGCATCATCAGCCTAATCATCATCATCATCATCATCAGCATCATCAGCAATATCATCATAGTCACCACCATCCTCATCATCATCATCATCATCAGCACCATCATCATCAGCATCACCATCATCCTCGTCCTCGTCCTCGTGATCACCAGCATCTACATCATCATCCTCATCATTACCTTCATCAGCATCGTCATCATCATCAGCACGATCATCATCCCTGTCATCATCATCATCATCATCATCATCATCATCATCATCATCATCATCCTCGTCGTCGTTGTCGTCGTCGTCGTCGTCGTCGTCGTCGTCGTCGTCGTCGTCATCATCATCATCATCATCATCGTCATCATCATCATCACCATCATCAATCATCATCCTCAGCATCATCCTCCCCCTTCCCTCCCTTCTTCTCCTCGGCCTCCCTCCTCCTCCTCGGCCTCCCTCTCCTCAGCATCATCATCCTCCTCGGCCTCCCTCCTCCTCCCCCCCTCCTTCAGCAGAGCGGCGTCGTCTGCGCCCAGCGGCGGCGGGCCGAGAGGCGGCAGACGCGCGGGCACCCGCGCAAGTGCAGGCCGGCAGGGGAGCCGGGCAGTGCAGGGGCCCCTCGGCCCGGAGGGGGGCATGGAGAGTCCTGGCCTCCCAGGAGGAGGAGGAGGAGGAGGAGGAGGAGGAGGAGGAGGAGGAGGTAGGAGGAGGAGGTAGGAGGAGGAGGAGGAGGAGGAGGAGGAGGAGGAGGAGGTAGGAGGAGGAGGAGGAGGAGGAGGTGGGAGGAGGAGGAGGAGGAGGAGGAGGTAGGAGGAGGTAGGAGGCAGGAGGAGACCTCTGGGGGCCCAACGCTGCGCCGTGGGAGCTCCGGGCTCTCTCCTCCCCCCCCCCGGAGCAGGCTGCCGGGAGCCGGGGCGTGCCCCGCGAGGCGGGGAGGGAGATTCGGAGGTGGACAGACTTCCCCGTGCAAGCCACCTCCGCTGCGTCTGACCCCCGTGCTGTGATGAGGAATGTGTCCGACTTGCTGCGAAGCGAGGAGGATGAGGCTCCTCTGATTCCGAACCGCCCTGATGGCTCGGAGTCGGGGTCAGACTAACGCCTGGGGGACTGGCGCGTGGCCAAGGGACATCCTCCCTCTTTGGGAGATGGGTCCGTGGTCGCCTGCTGATCCCTCGTCTGGTGTTAGGTTCAGAGTGGTTGCTAGGTCAGCCGCTTAGTAAAACTAGTCTGGCCGAAGGTGCCCCCCCCCCCAAAAAAAAAAAAAACAAGCAGTGGCGAAGCGTCCTGGCTCGCCTGTGGCCCTACCAAACAGTGCTCTAAGAACCCTTTTTGTGGTTTCCACGAGATGCTCTCAGAACAGTTCTGGCGGGGTCTGTCTTGTTTTATCACATCGGGTTTATGTGATAAGAACATTGTGCTTTGTTATTATGTAGAACATTTGGGGGTTCTAAAAACATTTCGTGGTAGGACTATAGGAATACCGGGACGGTCGGTCCCTGCTCAAAGATGGGGTCCGAGTAGATAGGGGTCGGAGGATCGCGCCACATCGCCGATGCATCGCCGATGTTGCTCGATGTGGAGCTCGATTTGCTTCACGTCGACGTCGCCGATGCATCGCCGACGTCGACGATGCATCGCCGGTGCATCGCCGATACATCGCCGATACGTCGCCGATGGTTCGGCGATGCGGCGCGATCCTCCGACCCCATCTACTCGGACCCAATCTAAGAGGCATCTAGAGAAGGCGGTGTGGCCAGCAGGCTCAAAACTTCTTAGGCAGACAACAAGGCACAACATTACCCTGACGACGTACCAAGCCCTTGCGCAATGCGGGGCCTAAGTACATCAGGATTGCTACAACGGGGGCGATGACGTAACATGGACGCATGTGATTTTGCGAGCAGCAATCGGAAAGCTCGCGGGCCCCCGATCAAGATTTCAGGGCTACGTAATAACAAATCACCCCGGTTGGCTGTGCCATGCGCCCGTTGCACCTAACGTATTCCACAGCAGCTCTTGAGAGCCCCCGCGGGGCCCGTGCAGGCGCAACGTTATGGCCATCGCCCAGCAGATGGTCTGTTTCACAAATCACCCCCGTTGGCTGTGCCATGCGCCCGTTGCGCCTAACGTATCCCGCAGCAGCTCTCCAGAGCCCCCCAAGGACGGCGAGGTCTCGCTCAGGTCCCCGCAGTGCCTCACTCCGCTGGACCAACCAGCAGCCCTCGAAAGTGGCGCGACAGTGTCGCAGATCGCAGCCCCCCCAGGAACGGCGAGGTCTCGCTCAGGTCCCCGCGGTGCCTGACTCCGCTGGACCCAACAGCAGCCGTCGAAAGTGGCGACAGTGTCGCAGATCGCAGCCCCCCCAGGGACGGCGAGGTCTCGCTCAGGTGCCCGCGGTGCCTCACTCCGCTGGACCCAACAGCAGCCGTCGAAAGTTGCGACAGTGTCGCAGATCGCAGCCCCCCAGGGACGGCGAGGTCTCGCTCAGGTGCCCGCGGTGCCTCGCTCCGCTGGGCCCAGCAGCAGCCGTCGAAAGTGGCGACAGTGTCACAAATCGCCGCCCCCCAGGGACGGCGAAGTCTCGCTCAGGTGCCCGCGGGGCCTCACTCCGCCCGACCCACCAGCAGCCCTCGAAAGTTGCGACAGTGTCGCAGATTGCAGCCCCCCCCAGGGACGGCGAGGTCTCGCTCAGGTCCCCGCAGTGCATCACTCCGCCGGACCGACCCACCAGCAGCCCCCGAAAGTGGCGCGACAGAGTCGCAGATCGCAACCCCTCCCCAGGGACGGCGAGGTCTCGCTCAGGTCCCCGCGGTGCCTCACTCCGCAGGACCCAACAGCAGCCGTCGAAAGTGGCGCGACAGTGTCGCAGATCGCAGCCCCCCAGGGACGGCGAGGTCTCGCTCAGGTGCCCGCGGGGCCTCACTCCGCTGGACCAACCAGCAGCCCTCGAAAGTGGCGCGACAGTGTCGCAGATCGCAGCATCCCAGGGACGGCGAGGTCTCGCTCAGGTCCCCGCGGTGCCTCACTCCGCTGGACCCACCAGCAGCCGTCGAAAGTGGCGTGACAGTGTCACAGATCGCGGCCCCCCAGTGAAGGCGAGGTCTCGTTCGGGTCCCTGCGGTGCATCACTCCGCTGGACCAGCCAGCAGCCCTCGAAAGTGGCGACAGCGTCGCAGATCGCAGCCCCCCAGGGACGGCGAGGTATCGCTCAGGTGCCCGCGGGGCCTCACTCCGCAGGACCCACCAGCAGCCCTCGAAAGTGGCGACAGTGTCACAGATCGCAGCCCCTTGGCAAGATGCACACACAAGAGGCACCGCAGCCAGGATGCACACACACACACACATACACGAGGCACGCGCAAGGCAAGAGGAGACAAGACGGAAGCGGGAGACGGGAGGCGGGAGGAGGAGGACGAGGAGGAGGAGGAGGAGGAGGAGGAGGAACGAATACCCAACCAAGGAGGGTTTGGGAAAAACATGTGTTCGAGCTGTTTCGACCCAGGGAGGCTCCCAACAAGCCCCCAACCCCCAAAGAAACTCGGTCCTGCGAGCCGCCGGAGGCACCCGAAAGCCCAAGGGGCCCCGAGCGCTCAAGACACCCCCGAGAGCGTCTTCACCCCCCCCCCACTGGGCCTGAGAAGGTCGACGCCGAAGCCTGGCAGCGAGGAGAGAGGGGCACAGCAGCCCAGTGCCCGCGCGGGCTCTCGCGCAGAGTCGGCGCCTGGCGCTGCGGACGCCTCCATCGCCTCCTGGAGGCCCAGAGGCTGTAGATTTCCAGCGAGACAGCAGCAACAGTGCGATTGATGGGCGTAAGAGTAATGACCAGATCACACTGGCATGCAAACGAGCAAGCAAACATACAGACAGATAAAAATGCGTAGTATGCATAACACATGGACTGCCCTCGAGCTCCCTCGAACCTCCTGCCTTCGTCGTGTGAGCCTCTCCTTCCAGATCCTGACCCGAGGAGATTTGCGGAGGTCCTCAGAGCCCTCCTGAGGCCCCACATCCGATTGTAGACACCACCCACAGGCTTTCCGAGAAACAAAAAGCGCGAGGAGCAGGCGAAGCTAGCAGTCGGCACGGAGATCGCTATCGCCTGCCTGCGGTTGTCACTTAGGTTGCGTTCGGCAATATTGTGAGACGAGAGCGTGGTTGACAGTCGCTCAGAAACTCGACCATGGGCCTATCTTGGAAAGGAGGAGGAGGTGAATGTGAGGAGGGGGAGGAGGAAGAGGAGGAGGAGGAGAAGGAGGAGAAGGAGGAGGAGGGGGAGGGGGAGGAGAAGGAGGAGGGGCAGGAGGAGGAGTAGGAGGAGAGAAGGAGAGGAGGGGAGGAGGAGGAGGAGGAGGGGGGTGAGGGGGAGGAGGAGGGGGAGGAGGAGGAGGGAGGAGGAGGAGGAGGAGGAGGAGGAGGAGGAGGATGAAGAAGAGGAGGTGGAGGAGGAGGAGGAGTAACGAGGAGGAAGAGGTGGACGCGGGGGAGAAGGAAGAACGAGGAGGAGCGAGGAGGAGGCGCAAGAGGGAGGAACGAGGGTGATCAACGCGGAGGAGGAGGAGGAGGAGGAGGAGGAGGAGGAGGCAGGAGAAGAGGAGGAGCAGGAGTAGGAGCAGCAGAAGAGGACGAGGCAGAGCCGCCCCGGCGCTCCGCGCAGGCTCTCGCGCAGGGTCGACTCCTTGTGCCGCCAGCGCACCGCTGGCTCGGCCGCCGCCACCCCGCCGGGCGTGGCGTCCATCGCGGCGGTGCCCGAGCTCGAGGAGGAGGAGGCTGTCGGCGACGACGAGGACGACGGCGACGACTCGACGACGGCGACGACTCGACGGCTAAGACGACGGCGACGACTCGGCGGCTAAGACGACGGCAGCGATGACGAGGGCGACGACGACGACGACGGCGACGACGGCGGCGACGACGACGACGACGGCGGCGACGGCGGCGACGAGGGCAACGACGGCGACGACGACAACAGGTTCGACCACGACGACGACGAGGTCGGTGGCGACGGTGGCGGCGGAGATGCAACGGCGGCAACGGCGGCGACGACGGCGGCGACGTCGACAAAAGGCGTGGATGATGGCGACTGCAGCGATTCAAGAATCGAGGTTTGCGTGCGCTTTTTGTCTCGCTCTTGGGCCTCCTGGAGGCTCTTCGCCACCACGGCCGGTTCCCCTTTGGAGATCTGGTCAAAGCGCACCTCAGGCGAGGTCGGGGGATCGATATACCAGGGCTACCATTAGGTCGGGCATGTCCTCCTACAGGCGGATCTTGGAGGAAAAGTCAGAAATACTCAACAAAAATCTTCAAGAATAGTCAAAAGTGGTTTTTAGAAAATCGTCCCCTTGATTATTTCTTTACCATTTTTGAATATTCCTCCTGTAGAGGGACAGGCCCGACTTATGGCTACCATAGAAAAACGACGACGACGACGACGTGTATAGGGCCCCGCTCACCGAGGAAGAAACCACGACGAAATGGCATCCCTGCGGCAGAAGACCCTGAGCAAATTCACACAGTTACGGAGAGGGCAACGACGGGAGGTCCATGGGAGGCAACGATGGGGGGTCCACGATGGGGGGATCGGTATAGGGATATGGGTACAGCAGGGATAGGGATATAGGCCTAGTGGTATAAGGATATAGGGATCGGGATGGGGGCAGGGATGTTGGATAGGGCCAGTGGATAGGGATAGGGTTTAAGGGAGTAGGGATAGAGACAAAGGGATAGGGACGCGAATAGGGATACGGATAGGGATAGGGATGGGGGCTGCAATTGGAGGCAGCGGGAGGCAACGGGAGGCAACTGGAGGCCACGGGAGGCAGCGGGAAGCAACGTCGCCCAACCGATTCCGAATACGGCAACCCACCGATTGGTTGCGAAGAAAGATAGACATGCATACATACATATAGGATACCAGAGAAAAAACCCAATCATAACCTTTTTAGAGCTGTAGGGCTATAGGGCTACAGGGCTACATGGGGCTCTTGGGCGCTATATGGCTATATGGGTTATAGGGCTATAGGGCGATAGGGATAAAGGGCTATAAGGCTATAGGGCTACAGGGCACCGGGCACCCGGCACCCGGCACCCGGCACCCGGGCACCGGGCACCCGTCACCCGGGCACCCGGGCACCCGGGCACCCGAGCACCCGGGCCAGGCCACCGAATCGGCGGCGAACCCCGGCACCCGGGCACCCGGGCACCCGGGCACCCAGGCCCGGCCACCGAATCGGCGGCGAACCCGGGCACAAGGGCACCCGGGCACCCGGGCACCCAGGCCCGGCCACCGAATGGGCGGCACACCTCACCTACCCTTAAATCCGCTAGGACCCCTACAGAGGCAAGCTCAAATCGGGAAATAGATATGTATATATATATATATAGATATGTATGTATGTATGTATGTATGTATGCATGCATGCATGCATGCATGCATGTATGTATGTATGTATGTATGTACGTACGTACGTACGTACGTACGTACGTATGCATGCATGCATGGATGGATGGATGGATGGATGGATGGATGTGTGTATAGAGGGAGCCAGAGAGCAAGAGAGAAAGAGAGAGAGAGAGAGACGAATTTAAACAAATAACTACAACTATACATATATATATATATATATATATATATATAAGACCGTTGCAGGCAAGCTGTTTAGGAACTGAGTTTGACGATTTCCTACTCTGTTCTGCTCCTGCGAGGGAGGGGCAGTCAAGAGACGACTCAAGATGGAAAGCCGGTCCAGGAGAAGGGATCGAGGCCTCTCACGTCGTGAAAACAAGACGACGTCGGGGATTTGGGTCGAAGTCTTCATTTCGCAGGTTTTGTGGCGTTCATGAGGGCTTTCGTCACCACGGCTGGGCGCGGCTCGGAAAAGGGGCCAGGATGCCTTGAGCGGGGTCCAGGGGCCTCTTCTGAGCGGGTCTCGGCTGGACGACGACGACGACGACGACGACGACGACGACGACGACGACGACGACGACGGAGTTCGTGCGTTTCTCCATTCCGGACCGCCTGGGCCATCGCGGATCGAGGAAGGCTTCCTGAGCGCAGTCTGCCTCTCTTGGGGGGAGGCGTGTCCGCCGGTCCGGGCCCGCCAGGGGGGAACTGCCCGGGGGCTCCTCCCATCGGCGACTTGGATCCGTCACGTGATGCGAATCCGAGGAGGAGGATGCGAGGGGGAGGAGGAGGAGGAGGAGGAGGAAGGAGGAGGAGGAGGAGGAGGAGGAGGAGGAGGAGAGAGGAGGAGGAGGGGGAGGGAGGAGGAGAGGAGGAGGAGGAGGAGGAGGAGGAAGGAGGAAGAGGAGGAGGAGGGAGGAGGGGGGAGGAGGAGGAGGAGGAGGGGGTTGGAATTCGCATCACGTGACGAAATCCTCGTCTATCCAGGACCGGCCAAGCCGCCGCGCGGGGAGAGCGAGGGCGGCCGTCGGCCTCTTTGCTTCGTGCCCTCGGGGGGCCTGCCTCATGCCAGGGCGGGGCGCGCTCGGGCAGCGGCCGGGAGGGGCGGGGAAGGAGGAGGAGGAGGAGGAGGAGGAGGAGGAGGAGGAGGAGGAGGAGGAGAGGAGGAGGAGGAGGGGAGGGAGGAGGAGGAGGAGGAGGAGGAGGAGGAGGAGGAGGAGGAGGAGCAGGGGGGGGGGGTCCAGGCTTTGAGGCGTGAGGCGTTCCAGGCGGGGCCTCGCGCCTCTGGCGATCGAAAAGGAGTTCTCGGCAGCGCTCGGACGTGTGCTATTTTTTCCTCGGCGAGGACCCTCGAGGACCATTCTTCAGAGCGTGGATTGCCTACCCCGCTTTCGCTGCCAGGCAAAACCAAGTCATACCACGCGCCTCCTCGTCAAGCGGCCTGACCAGTACAGGCCGTACTTTGGCATCGCTTGGTATCTCTTGGAAGCGAGGGTGGTCAAAAGCGAGGTAGGTTTGTTTGCCCCTTAATTCTGCACCATCGAGCAAAAAAACACGCACAAAACCGAACAATGCACGGGACATGGACGTCCGAGGAGCGGCAAGAGTTGGCGCCGCTTCCTCGGCGGGGGGCGGCGGAGGTAAAACGGGGGCGATCTCGCCGGCGGAAGCTCAGCGGAAGGCGGCAGAAGCAAGACCGAGCCTCCAAGAGATGTTACCGCTTTGGGCTGAAGAGCTTGCGGAACCCGCCGCGCGTCGCCGTCTGGGGCCTCCTGGGGCGCCCCGGTCACCACAGCAGGACGCGGCTCGCAAACTTGGCCAGGATGGACCCCGTCAGGGCTTCGGAGACCGATCACGGGCACGGTCTTGGCATCGCTCGGACGTGTGCATTTTTATTTTTCTCCAGCGAGGATCATCGAGGAGCATCTTGGATCTTCTGGCGAAAACAGAAGAACAGAACAGAAAGCAAAACAAAAAAACGAGATCGAAAAAAATGCACGGGGACTGGACGTCCGAGCGATGGCAAGCGTTTTGGCCAGGGGGCGACGATGGCAAACGGTGGCGGTGGGCCTCTGGGCCCGGCGCTTCCCGGGGCGCCCTCGCGGCCACGGCCGGCAGTTCGGAAGACTGGCTAGGAGAAGCCCCAGGGTGGGGTGGAGGCGGGGGGATCCAGGCCGGGGAGGGGGGGGGGTTCAGAAGCATTCCCGCCTTCTGATCTGGAGGATCGAAATGGGCACACGCCAAGAATGGGTACGAAGACTAACAGCAAGTCCTGCCCATTTTGAATTGGACTCGCTGTCGGCGTCGCCGCAGACGGTGTCCATTTGAGACAGAAGACCGCCTGCCCAACAGCGGCCGCTGCTAGTTTGGGATAACATTGGTTGTTGGGCATTGTGCCCATTTTTTCCGTACCCATTTCGGGCGTCCGAATCTGAAGAGCCCCGAAGAACAAAAATTTCCATGAATATAATTGTTTGGCGCTCCAGTGCCTCATGACTCGAAGAAGAGAAAACGCCATAGGCATAAACTTTTGGCGCTCCGCGCGGACTGCTTGGATCCGCGCTGGGCCCCCCTGGCGGCGCCTCCGGCGCAGCCTCTGGCGCGCTCCGCGCGCCAGGGAGGGGGGGTCCAGCGCAGAGCCCAGCAGTCCGCGTGGACCATCGAAAGTTCCCCATATCCTAAGATGGGGTTCTTGTTATTATTTGGACGCCTCCTACTGCCTCTCCCTCCTCCTCTTTCCTCCTCCCCTCCTCCTCTTTCCTCATACTCAGACCTACTCATACTCAGACTTACTCATACTCAGACTTACTCATACTCAGACCTACTCATACTCAGACTTACTCACACTCAGACATACTCATACACAGACTTACTCATACACAGACTTACTCACACCCAGACGTACTCATACACAGACTTACTCATACCCAGACTTACACATACGCAGTATTACTCATACTCAGACTTACTCATACCCAGACGTACACATACACAGACTTTCTCATACACAGACCTACTCATACCCAGACTTACTCATACACAGACTTATTCATACACAGACTTACTCATACTCAGGCATACTCATACTCAGACCTACTCATACTCATACTTACTCAACACACATCAGATTTGGAGGATGTCTCAAGCGGGGCGCTGGTTTCAGCACCCCTAAGGGGAGCCGCCAGGGGTGGTTGCACGGGCTCGTTCGCGGCCATTGTGTGGGGATGTCTCAGGCGATTTGCCTGTTTCTGGGCTCAACATCCTTCGCTTGGAGAGCAGATTGTGAGGATGTCTCAGGCGGGGGCGCTGGTTTCAGCACCCCTAAGGGGAGCCGCAGGGGTGGTTGCACGGGCTCGTTCGCGGCCATTTTGTGGGGATGTCTCAGGCGGTTTGCCTGTTTCTGTGCCCAACATCCTTC